AAAATGTTACGAAAACGAGGATGTCTAGAAATAGAGCTCTAACTACACAGTCGACTGCCAACTTAACAGAATATACTTGCGCACAGCCACGTCGTATGCTTCATACAAACATCTGTATATTCATTGTTTGTCTCCGGCCCGCACAGGGCGAGTGAGCGAACGTAATTGTGGAGTCCAGGTTTACCTGTACGCACGTGCCTAGCTCAATTGCGAAATCTCAGTAAAGGCGGAAAAAGTTGTCCCTGTCCTGAACGAATTAAACGCTACGCCATGAAGGCCTATGGGGAGTGGATGTATAGATCCACATTTTCTTGACCTCGGCACTAGATGGAGATGAGTGGTCAGCTTCACGCCCCTGCCACATTTGCATTTTCATTATTTTGTACCACTTCTTCTTCTTCTTGTATTTCAGAAAAAGTCAAAGTCAAAGTTACTGTACTTTACGACTGGCGGTTTACAGCCAATCAGTTCGTCTGGCGTCAGGCTCGTCGGAGCATNATCTGGACGATTTAGAGGAGAGAAAATCCTTGATCCTACCGGGACTTGAACTCCGACCCCTCAGTCGTCCAGACCGTAGCCAGTCGCTTACCGACTACGCTACCACGGCTCTAGAAAAGTAAAAAATATATATATATATATATATTATTTNGTAACATCCTCTCTGACGAGAAGATGGGTTTCGGAAATGAAGAGTGTGTTAAAATCCGACTGAACAGAACTCTTGCGGTAATAGTCCTTATGTGACATCATCTCTGACGAGAAGATGGGTTTCGAAAATGTAGTGTGTGTGTCAAAAGCAGACTCAGCCTGCTTCCTTGCCCCTGGGAATCATCGTTAAATATTGTATAATAATAATAATCGTTATTACAGCCGGCCTTAAATTCTTGTTATATAACCTCTTGGCGGCACCAACAGAAAACACCGTTTCCTGACGGTTCTTCTATTGTTAAAGAATTGTGTTTACCTCGTCGTTGCATAGAAACGGTAGTTTATTATTGTTGCTTGGGTATTTACTTCCGCTGTAAAACATTTATCGAGTCCTTTCGTAGCAATGAACGTCTACTCTTGCTCCGCTATTCCGGCTTTTAGGCGTCATGTCACAATACCAAATTATCTGTCGAGCAGCTAATTACATCCAGGTTAACAAACATTGAGATAATTGTTCTTTCCTCTTAGGTTAAGTAATGAGAATCCTGTGACGCCCTTAACATAGCTTTTCCTTTGATAAACTGTATCAGAGAGCTGCAAATATATGTGATCTATTTCTGTGATCAAAAGAAGTGAAAACCAGTGAAAATGGCTGAAGAATGTGTTCAGTATGGCGATAATTGTACAAGCCAGACGAAGGATTGGAAAGGGAAACTAATGCTTTGCATTCTGCGCAGTCATTTTATGTGATGGGGTTTAGGAGCGGATTCATCAGCGTTCCGGGACAACCTTATCACCTGTGATGTGCCTGCAACCGAAATGACCACCAATCATTGGAACAAACACTGCGAACAGCGGATTTATTACCGAAAACATTTTATTCGATGGAATCAGGAGTTTTGTGGACGAAAAGTAGGGCAATGGCTTCAGAAATATAAGAAATCTTTTAACTATTGTGATTATTATTAATTATCGTTTGTACACCAATATAATAGGACATTTGGTTATAACCCTATTTCGCCCCAGTGAGTATATTGAATGAGTATATTGAATGACGTTTTAAAACTTTTTCTAAAACCCACTGATGGCTGTAATTCGTTCGGTCGAATGGGTCATTTATGGATAGTAACTAATGGTATTTGATCTCCGTATTTTAGCTGAAGATAAACCAATGATTACTTTCAACTTTCATTGTCTTCTACAAATCACACAGCAGGTTAGCTCAAGTCATGGCATCAGGCCAGTAAGCTCAAGTAGACAATGCTTCTGACTTAATAAGCCTTTCGGTAGATATCATGTTCAATTCTCGGTCGGGATATCAACTGTCATGACTATTTTTCGCCATTTTCCTCAGTCCCAGGTAAATTCCGGTGCAGTATCGTAAATTAGGCCACGACCGCTTCTTCTCACAGCTATTTCAGTTCATTATATATTGTCATCCGATCATTCTACGAAGTACAGTTTTGAGTTACTAAAAACAACTCCGTGACCTGTAGTCCGCAAGCGAACTTTACCGACCGAGCGACCGCCGCTTGTCGGCGAAGTTAGTGCCAACTTTAGCGGATAGAGGATGTCGCGTGTTCAGGGCAACGGATCCCCACGGCCGTTAATCTCGGTTTTCTAGACCGGAGCCGCTATTTCCTTGAAATAGCTCCTCAGTTATCCTCACGAGGCTGAATGGACCCCGTTCCAGAACCACTACTTCTCAGAAAATCTGGGACCGCCGGGAATCGAACCCAGGACCTCTGCATCTGTAGCCAGGAACTCTGACCACTAGACCACAGACGGTCTGAGTTACTAAAAGCGTCGTTAAATAAACTATAAATGGATAATGAAGCTGTGGCTATTCAGACTTGTTCTCTATAGGTACCTGTTTCGACATCTGCTGCTTACTTTATTTAATCACATTTTTCGAACTGCATATGTTCTTGGCATATAATACTGACTGGGAATTATGAGGAGAGTGGAGAGTTACATCTTCTGGGATATAACGCCGCCTAGTCCGATGACAGTCAACTGACGTTTCAGAGGAACATGTCACCTCCATCTTCAGGGTTGAAGGCTGGCTACTTCATGCTAGTTTCTTGCACGGCTTACTATTCAACCCTGAAGATGGAGGCGAAATGTGCGTCCAAAATGTCCGTTGCAAGAGATTATACCCCAGAAGACAGAACCCCTCGTAACCACCGTTATGAGAACCTAAAACCCTACGAAGTCTATGATCGTGGTATATCCCAATTATCGTTCCAGAATTTCCTTAGTCTATAGTGACATGTTGAGAGATCTGTATTTAGGGCGGATCCTGGCTACGAATCCAAATTCGAATCCCGAACGGGGTTTTGGCTATCATATTTGAGGTTTTGCCTTGTTCTTTATATTAATAATTCCAGGCGAGCGACATTATATTTGTCTTGAAATAGGCTACGACCACTTCTTCCAAATTTTTTCCAGTTTACCTGAAATAACCATCCTTTCATCCGACATGCTGAACCCGCCAATCAATTATAATCTTGTTTCATAGGTTCAGTTAATTTGCTCTGAAGAATTCGGCTATCTTCTAGAACAGTTTCTTAGCCTTCCCGTTTCATAGATTTTAATATCCATTTTTCTGACGACTTTTTTCAAGTGACACAACCGTCTTAGAATATTTCCGTTAATTAAACTAAAATATGTGTAAACATTCCATAATATTGTGGGATATTTGCTCCATGCAAGAACTGTGGAGGCAGAGAAACGGCCGTTGCTAAGTATTACACGCACGTAACAATAGCACAGCGGGTTTATGCAACCCATTTCTAAGCAGCGGCTCTGTAAACATGTGCCCGCGGTAAACACGCCTCAACAATAGAAAAGTTGTTTTCTATGTGGTCCGTACCGCGACCGTTTCAATACAGTAGTCCTGTAAACACGCTTCAACGATACATAAGCTGTCTTCAGCGTGGTCCGTGCCGAGGAGCTAGCTTAAAGACAATTGGCGCTACAAGGCAGTGAGTGAGTCAGTCAGTAACCCGTGTGGAAGCGGGGTCGAACACCTCCGCCGTGACCCGCGAGTCGTAGGAAGCGACGAAAAGGGACGTCTGAAATCTGAGACAGTAAAATATGGTTGGGAGTCCCAGGGGACTCGGACCCAAGAAATGCTGCGCTGTAGTACAAAAGGCAGACCCGTCCTATCATCAGAGAGGGCGCCCCACAAAATAGGACCATAACTGTCCAACAGTAATAAACGTCTGGTCATGAGACTTACTGACTGACTGACCGTCAGTCGCAATGTCACTTTGACTTTGACTTTACAAGGTAGTTGAGGTTTCAGCTATGGAGTGCTAACCAGCAGGCAACGGAAGCTGAAGAATCGTTACCAGGCAACGTCTAGTGAAGACACTGCAGAGGAATAACCAATGTAGACAGCGGTACGAAGTACAGACTAGTAAAAGTAGGCTGAGAAGACTTAGTGTTTAGTGAATTGTAGTGTGAAAATCAGCAATAGTGTTATAGTTAAGACCTGTAAGTATTAAATAAATCCAGTCATCCAATCTACAGAGTCCGTCTTGTAAGTCAAGCACAACCCTACACGTGACAGTATGTTACTGTGACGTCATTACATCCCTGTGTTCCAAACAGGCTACAGGGCATTGCATGTGGCACGGCTGTAACTCCTTTTAATTGCCTTGAAGGAGACACTTCAAGCAATCTTAGTCATTAATAAGAAACCTTTTCTTTTGGAAACGTGATGAAAGTTACGATTGCAGGAGCTGCGTGCCAAGCTTTGGGATTTGAAATACAGTACCCTTGTCTTGAGCCTGTAGATCGATGCAGCTGTCGCGGAGGTGCCAGCTTTCTAACAGTTATTGCCGGGTTTTATAAGCAGAGGTTCTGATTTTCGATCAGAGTGACCGCTCATACAGTATGGGTTCATGGGTTCGTGTCCGGCTCGGAACATGTATTATATCCGCGTGTTTCTGTGTCATTTTGTGTACTGTTGGGCTTTCCCCCTTAAAAAGAATTATGCGGGGTTAATTAAAATATGAACCGGACTTATTAATTATAACGGAAAAGAAAAGTAAAAAAATAAACCTTTGTAACATTGCAACCTGCTGAGAAAGGACGCCGTGTAGTCTGATATATATCAACATTTCGGAGGAACTTCCTACCCCGATCTTCAGGTTAGAAGAGTGTTCAGATGATGGAGGCAGCAGGTATTTCCGAAACGTCGGTAAAATATCTACCAAACCACACGACGTCACATCCCAGCAGATAGCAATTTTTATAGTCACCTCATTGAGAACCTCAACTCACAGAATATTAATAATATTCTCTTACTGTGTTAGCTAATTCAGCTATTCTATATTTTCTAGGTGATTCTGACGGCCGTGGAACTTCGAGGTGAGTTTCCATACATAGTTATTTAACTTCTATCGTTATAGGTAAGCTAAACAGCTTCATGAATTATGTTGAAGCTTTCTCTGGGTGTAGTGGGAAATTGCGTATAAAATTTCAAGTTCTCTGGCCTTAGTAGCTAGGGAGAGACAGAGAAAAGTCTCCTCCTGTAAATGTTACCGCCATGAACTAGTGCTATTATCAGCCACGTATCACTTATGGTTTCCTTCTCACAATAAAAAAGCAAAATTATTGACTATGCAGTTTTTTTTTAATTCGCTAGTGGGGGGTGGAGTCCAGCTGGGTCCACGGCGGCCACTGATTGGCCTATTGTACCTGCCCCGGGTGATTATGATGATGGAGAATTTGGTGGAATGAAGATTGGCAGGGGCAACCGAAATACTCGGAGAAAACCTGCCCCAGCGCTACTTTGTCCACCTCAAATCCCACTTGACAAGACCCGGGATCGAACCCGGGCCGCCGCGGTGGGAAGCCAGAGACTAACCGCTTGAGCTATGGCGCGGCCTGGACTTTGCAGTTAATTACCATTAGGCTTTCTGAGTAGGATTTGAAAGAAAGAAAGTTCTGCTCCTATGTATAGGTCTGCTGAGTTCGTTACTGTAATCCAGAGGCATGTCTGGCACGGGAACGGTTGTTTGCTCCAGGCTGGGCTAGAACTCGCCGTTTGTGCGCTCAAGGCTGGTTCAAAGACCTGTTCTCCTCTCCAGGATGAAGACACATAAAACCGTGACAGCAAACTTTAGGGTATATTGCCTGCCAAATGGGTCGCTAGCAGGCCTAATAAACACTGACAGCATTCCCCGATCATTTCATTAATTAAAGGACACTTCCTGACTAGCCGTAGTAGCTCTGTAACGTGACTGACTGCGAGCTACACGAAATGGATTCTATTTCTGTGAGGCCCGAAATTGTTACTCACCTCTGGGACCCACCCAACCTCCTCTATAGTGGGCAGTTGAGGGGAACGCTTGCTGAAAATTTGAATAGGCCGTCTCACTACTTAAAATGGACACCTCCCCTCCATCCATACACCCTCGAGAACTTATCTGAATTCGTCGAATTCTTTTTAATATATACTTACTTACTTAATCCGTTCCTCTTATACCTTTACGGTGTCGAGGTTGTTTTTTTTTCAATTTGATAATTTTACAGACTGTAGGACTCCTTGGACGAATGATCAGCTCGTCGCAAGGCCTCTACCTAAAGACAGGACAACACAAACACAGAATAAACATATACACATAAACAAACATACATGCCTTGTGTGGGATTTGAACCCATGATACCGGCTTCCGAGCGAGAGAAGAGAGTATATGCCTTAGAATGCTCGGCTACCGTGACCGGCCTTTTTAATATATAATTCTAATAATTTTCGGCGCCAACACATACATAAATCCATATCCGGACAATTAACAAGTTTTAAGTTGTACTAAAATTGTTTGACATGTTAATGGGGGTTCAGGTTTAAATCACGTAATCTTTTCCTTGCCAAGACAAACGTAACTCGCTCAGAAAGAGCCTCGGCTTCTTCTCAGAACAAATATTTCGTTTGATAATATCAGTAAAAATAAATTATCCGGCCATCTATTAGTAATTCAAGCTATATATGAATTCTCAGCAAAGTATGAATATGTTTGGACTAGCATGGAACCATGTAAATAAAAAAAAACTTTTAGAAATTGAACTCAGCAGGCAAAAAAATATTAATGACATTTCTTCATATACTGTTGCTCTTTATCGCCGAATGATGAATTCATATTGATCCCGATTTATTGGATCGCACATTAGTAATTTTTGTTCGAAAGAAGTGTCTGAATGCTTTAGAATAATATTTGGGGCCGCGCCATAGCTCAAGCGGTTAGTCGCAGGCTTCCCACCGCGGCGGCCCGGGTTCGATCCCGGGTCTTGTCAAGTGGGATTTGTGGTGGACAAAGTGGCGCTGGGGTAGGTTTTCTCTGAGTACTTCGGTTTCCCCTGCCAATCTTCATTCCACCAATTGCTCCACAATCACCCTCACTTATCATCTGGGGCTGGTACAATAGGCCAGAAGTGGCCGCAGTACAAGGGACTTAGTCCAACCCCACTAGCAATAAAAATAAATAGAATAATATTTTGATACTGACTTGGACTCGCTTTCTCATAGGCGGTCAAGTTAAACGTTATCACGTTATATGGTCGGTTTGTTTGCCTGACGACTATAAATAACATAACATGGAATGCAGACGAAAGTTATGAGCCCAATCGCGTCAGACAATCAAGTGTTTACTTGAAAAATTTGCTAAGATATACGTACAACGTAACACGTCAGAAGGTCACAGCGGAGAAGTGCACGGTTCACAAAAACAAGCTGTTCGAGATAACCACAGCAAATAGAAGCGATGTGAGAAAGGAAACATGCGTTTGTCCTCAGTTAAAGTCAGTACTAATGTAGATATAAATACAAAAAAAAAGATAAAGCTCTCCTTGTAGCAGGCCGTGGAGGCCCATAGGGTTGTGTGACATGGGGATCCCACATTTTCTAGGCAATCAGCTCACAGATGGCTGTGAATTTGACAACCTTACACACCAGTCGCTCTTTGACCCCAGGAAGATTCCTGGTACTCATTTCTCTCAGACTTAATAGACTCCAAGGCCATAGCGCGGCTGGAAGGATTAGGTCACTTGAAAAATCCAATGACCTCATCGGGAAACGAATCCACAACCTTCCGGCTTGTAGCATAGTGCCTCAACCAACTATGCTACAGCCTGCTCACGTGGATATACATAACTGGTGACAAATATACGCTCTTTGCCCCCATGATAATGGCTGGTACTCATTTCTGTTACATGCTGAATCAACCCCATGGCCATAGTACGACTGGAAGGATTAGGTCTATTGAAAAATCCCATGACCTCCTCGGGAATCGAAACCGTAACCTTCCGGCCTCTAACATAGTTCCTTAACCAACTATGCTACCGTGTTCTCACGTGAATATACATAACTGGTGACAAATTTGTGTGTCCTGGGCACCAGCAAACAAAAATACATTATGAACTGTTTTGCAAAACTCGTGTTTAATCGTCATATCGAGTTTAAGACGCAGATTCAATTATGTTTCCCCGCTTCTTTAAGAATACTCATCTTCTCTACGGAAAAGTACGTTTTTGATATCAACGCGTGCATGTCTTTCTCCTTTAAATTTCTGAAATAGCTGACAGATTTTCGTGAAACTTGGCGGGATAAACGTTATTCCTCTTGATATCACCCTCACCAGTTTTTGAGTTCCTGTAATCAGTAATGACGCTTTGGCGGTAAGAAGTTTTGAGGTGGGAACGACACTAGTGACAGTCCAGAATCGTGAAATGATGTATAATTGTAAAGCTTTGAAAAATACGCAACTTAATTTGGAGATTTTTTATGTAATGTAAGATATCAACATACATTTTCTATAGCTTAAGTTTTATTTAAGATAATTAATGAACCACTGGAGCTAAGCTTACAAAATTTGGATTGAAAATAGACCGTAACTTACGTACTCGTATATTTCATGCTTGAAATATTCTTTGTAAGTCTAACAATTACAAACGTTACGACCTGCAACACTTTGTGGTTATATTCCATAAATTAACTTAAAATCTGTACGTAAGTAATAAGTTATTGGCAAAAATAGACCCATAGAAGCATAGAAAGTACAGTTAGGTAAAGTGACCGGCTAAGTAAGCCAAAACCAGCCAACATCAGAAATAGTTAAAAGTGATATAAGTTTATTATTTAGTTTTAGTTTAATTAATGACATTAACGCAGATTAATTCTTCGAATTACAGGACGATAGTGAATAATAAACTGGAAAGGATTTGGAAAGAAACAGTCATGGCCTAGTTGAAACAATTTCCCGGTCCGAAGTGCTATGGTCAAGGCACAGTTTTGCTGCTTTAGAGCCACGACTTTATAAGACGCCTGGAAAAGTTCGGCGCCATTACTACGCAGTAAACAAGCGTCAGGCCAGCGACTCTGACGAATGTTGTGAATGCAGGCCAAGTCGCGGTTACAACAAGGTCTAATGGAAGATCCACTGTGTCCTTTAACGAATTAGCTGGTGCGAGAAGTTAAGCAGTAATTTTATAAACAAGCATTTCCTCCAACCATTTTGATTTCCCATAGCAGATTAAGGCTGGAGGTTCTGTTTTGTCTAAGCCACTAATTAAATTGAAATTGTGCCGGTCACGGTAGCCGAGCGGTCTAAGGAGTGCACTGTCTTCGCTCGCTCGGAAACCGGGATCGTGGGTTCGAATCCCACTCAGGGCATGGATGTTTGTGTGCGTTTTTCTGTGTTTGTGTACAGGTTGTGTACGAGCTGATCACCCGCCCAAGGAGTCCTACACTATGTCTAAGATCTAGAAAAACCGAAGTGAACGGAGAAGTTCACGGAGGTAGACCTAGGTCCACTGTGGCTGTAGTGCCAAGGAAGGAAAAAAAAATTGAAATTGTAATGTACGAAATTGTGATTTTTTTAATATCCTATTGCTCCCACTTTCGAACACAGGGCTGATTTCTCAGTTTCATTATAATTTTACAGCGGTAGGACTCCTTGGACGGGTGATAAGCTCGTCGCAAGGCGTCTACCTAAACACAGGACAACACAAACACAGAACAAACGCTTACACACACACACACATACAAAATAATTCCTTGTGTGGGATTCGAACCCACGATCCTGGCTTCCGAGCGAGCGAAGACAGTACATGCCTTAGACCGTGCGGCTACCGTGACCGGCAAAGTTGTCATTAATACAGTCAGTAAGCGCCTGTCTGAGGAAAGAAGACATAATTCTTCTGGAATGTGACATCGTACGGTCTGGTAGGAGTTTATCGACGTTTGGGATGAAATTGCTGCCTCTATCTTAGGATTTGAAGAGTAAACCCAGCAGAAACCTAAAATATTACAGTTCCAAGTTTGCTGGCAGTTTACACAGAGATGAAAATCTTGCTCAAATTCAGCCTGGTAA